TGAAAATTCTTTACATTATTAGAATTTAAACAAATTAAATTTGATCCTGCTTATTTTGAGGCTAGCAGCAACTAAGACAGTCAACATCAACACCCTCTCTTTACTGAGCTGTCCTCATTCATCCCCAAATCCAGTTCTGCTTTATGAGGCATGCTGGTAATGAAGCTGCTCAACTGCAGCAGCACTTGTCTGTCAAGACACCAGGAAAAGTGAAATGGATGACAGCCTCACCCTGTGCATGCCAGGTCAGGGTTTCTTAAACCCTGGCTTCTCCAAACTGATTAAGTGTAGTACTACAGGGAAAGAAGAGAATCCAACTTGGTAGCTGACTGTTCATTAATAAAATACTATACTTCAAATTCATGTTTAAGCTTACTCCACACCTGAGTCTGCCATTCATAACAATACTTACCCCATAAGCTTAAAAATAAACATTAAACCCCACCATTAAACTTTAAAATAATAATAAAAAAGAGCACATAGAAAGAGTATGGCTGGATTTTACACAGAAGCTGTGAAAAAAGAACAACACATACTTGCAAGAATGCAGGAGCAGCTGCAAAGTCTGGGAAAAGCAAACTGATAAGAAAGTGCTGCACTTTTAAAATCTGGATTCAAACTAGAACAATAACATCAATGAAAAATCGTAGATGTCAGGCAGATAATTCTGCAGCCAGAAGAAAGACACCGCCCTTCCCTCCGTCCCACAATCCTCTTGAAAGACTTCAGCCAGACATAGCCAAATCCCAAAAGTGCTCAGACAGAAAATGAAGGAAAATTACTCATATGTAAGCTTTACAAAATACTAAAAAACTGAGGTAAACAACAGATCTGCCTGGCAGTTATCAGTGCAATTATTTGCAACAGTAATGATATAGTGAAAAGACCACATCCTGCCCAAGACTCTGAACCAGCTGCAGTTTCTGCATCTGTTGCACAGACAGATATCAAACTCTGAACAGAAGTAAATCATACCTAAAATGATTCACTGTGACCACTGTTAAAAAGTTACTAAACTATTAAGCTCACATGTAATTACCATACATTCACAGTGCTTTCTTATTATATAAGGCTGGCTCTTTTCCTCAGTGACTGACCCAACCAGGACAATTTAGGGCACTTTAACTCAGAAGTGTATTGGCACAATATAAACAGACCTAGCAAAAGATCTTCCTAAGATGTCACACTGCAGATGCTGCTAAAACCAACAGAAAATATTCCTGACTGGCTTAAAGCAATTGGCATCTCAAACTGGAAAAGGAAATTATCCCACTGCAATGCAGACACAATGAAGATGCACACCCTTAAGGAACTCATTTCCATCAATTCCAAATGCATTTTCCATAATGCAAATGAAAATGCTTTTGTCCAACAGCATGCCAAGACACGCACACAAAACCTGTATCTTCAGTGTTCACTTCACAAAGTGGATGGTGCTCAGGTGGGGAAGGTGGCAAATCATGAGAGAAAGTGTAAGGGACAGGCTGTTGGAAGAAGTTTGTTTAAATCCAGTATTTGAAGGAGGTGTGATTTAATGATTTGAAGAGTACTCCAAAAATGCTATTGATCATGACATAAGATTAAAAAGCCTAGGCTTTTTTGGCATAGGAGTATATAAATTTTTCTTCAGGATTATGGCAGTCCCACTAGGGTACCTATGCTCAGCACACCACACCCCAGCTACCCTGTAGCCCCAGTATGCTCCATCTGGCTGGCTTGCACACCAGATACTTCCATCCACCACTTGCCACAGATGTGCCCAAATCCCATCCCTAATCACAGCCAGATTCCCCTCATGGCTGTGGCTTGGCTGAGATGCACCTAAGGTTTGGAGGACCAGCACTGGATATGGAGACTGGGAAGGAGAGATCCACAGAGGAGACAACAGGAAAACACAAGTGCTGGCTGCAAGAAAGCATCTTCCTGTTCATTCCAATGACCTTTCATTTCATCTCACACATGGCAGGATCACTGCCAAGGATCAAAAGTAAAACAGTTCAAGAGCAAGCCAGCAATCTACAGTCCTGCATTATATATCATGTGCTACCTATGCATTCGATATTGCATCAGAAGTGCATCACTGAGGCTACCAAGACAACCTCTCCACATCTGGATAATGCTGTTGTACTGTATCCATTAGGCCATCCAATGGGGATTGATTTATGGCAACAGGATATACCCAACTAACTATTAGTGGTAATGAACTAGATTGTTTCTAGCCTCAAAGTCCTGTGCAGCCTTAATGCTTCATTTATCACACACCTCTAAAAACATGAACTAAATTGACATTCATTTCATCGTTGTTTTTTTTTTTATAGCATTCTTGACCTTGGTATCAAACTACTGCATACCAACAGTACCCTTCCTGCTTCACTCTCAACACCTTCACATCTCCAACTCAACCACAGTATTTTCCAGAAAACAAGAAAAATACCTGTCTGGCCAAACCAGCAGCACTTTGAATACAAAGCATCACTGTGTCATGCACAACCTGCGAATGGAAGCATAATACACAAAGAACATCCCAGGCATGGGGAACATCCCAGAATTCATGTGTTTGAAAGCTGTACAACAAATAAACAAGGACTCCACACATTTATTCTGACTCTTCCTAAATTTGGAACACCTGCCTTCACAAATCAAATAAACCAAACACAAACAAAAGGAGTGGAAAAAGTTTAGAAAGAGACCAGTACTCATAATTCACTGACAGGTCACAGCAAGACATGGGGTATTTCAGGATTTCACTATTCTCACAACTGCTGTCAGTGAACTGTAACAAACTGTTTTTCAGCAGCACCTGCTAACAGGGAGTGGAGTAGCCAAGTGAGAAGTAACTAAGCTATTCCTAAAGGGTTCACAAGTTAGCAATGGTATGCAACAATATTTCTAGTATTGTACTATTCTGGAGACTTTTGGGATCAAAATAGCTGGATAGGAGGCAGGAAAAAAAATTAGCCCCTTGCTGTTATGAATTAAGGTCTTTCTGAAGTTCAGCTCTGCACCTTCTATTTTTGGCTGGATCATTTTTAAGGAAGTCACATAATTAATTCCTGAGTAAATAAAAGTAACTAAAAATACTTATTTCAAATTTTTATTTGCCCAAAGCAATTACAATCAATTTATGTCTTTGACAAATATCTCCCTAGATCAATCTTGCCAATAAAATATGGCACCTCATTTGTGATTTTAAATAAAATACTTCCACAGGGATGTGTTGTACTGATATATCTCTAAAAAAAGATACAACTGTAAGTTCTCTACAAGTTCATCCAAAGTCCTAACTGTTGAGGGAAAAAGAGAAAGCACACATCTGAAACTAATGAGAATAAATATAGTTGTCAGTATAATTAATTTAAGAACCTGAAAGTGCTTTAAAAATGTTCTTTGGTACACCACCTATCCAAACCAATAAGCATTGTTCATCCTGTTACAGAGATTTAGTGAGTAAGGGACAGTAAGGTCTTTTTCTTTTCCATTACAAAATGACTCACTGGCAAAGTCAAACAGAGGTGAAGCTAAAGACATATGGAGAAATGCAGCTTGAGGCTCAGTTGCTCATCACCACACCCTACAAGCACCTGATTTACTCAGGTATCATTCATCTCACCTAGTCCAAGAACACGGTAAGTTTGATAATCCGAACTCCAGAACGTGCCACCTGTGACAGGGCAAGATGCTAAGCCTAGTGCTGCAACTACATCATATCAGCCAACATGGGAGCCCATTAGTGCAGACAACTTCTCACAATTTCTGTTCCTCAAAAAAGAAAAGACCTCTGTCTTTATTGAAGGAAAGCACCTGCATGATCGGAGGTTTTCACTTTATTTTTACCAATCATTTACTGGCTACTTCATTTCTTGTGTTCAAAGCCAGTCTCCTCTATGAGGTTGGTAGCACTCTCTGGGTAAATATTAAGGAGCAGGGAAAAGTGAAAACTTCCTAACTGAATACTACCTCAAAACCTCTTTTTTAATTTTATTAGTTTATTTTAACAAAAAACCAAACACACACACAAAAACAAAAAAAAAAAAAAACCACAAAAAACAGGGGAAAAAGCAGTGACATTACTACTGCTACACAATTCCCATTTATCTTTGCAGATAGGTCCTCATGGATAAACAGGCATACATCATCTACATTCATCTACATACCAGGTATGTAAATACTTTATGTAGCCATCCAACTGCAGGTTTTGCTACATGCAGTGTGTTTAACTATTTTTGAGCATTTTCTGCTCAGAAATTGCCATGAAGTTCCAGAGAGTCATTACACCATGTCTTGTGGTCTGCAATGCAACTGCAGATCTTACATGCAATCACACATCTCCAGAAACACTGTTTTCCAACTATCTGGAGAATGAAGATTACACAATACTTGAAACTTGAGCCTGCCAAAATAAGTCGTTATAAAACTAGCAGTGGAGCCTGACACATCACCTTGAAAGAAAGTAAATAACATTCTTCTCAGAATAAACCATAGACTCAAACAGTCCTACCAGGGCATCTGATCCATGGCTAACTAATGCTGCATAAGAGTTAAAAGATGCTTACATTTTTCTGTATTTGGACAGAGGTGGACTTACTGATCTTCCCAATTACTCCTTTAACATTGGTAGGACATTCTAAGTTCATTTAAACAACTCATGGGCCAAAGATTCACTGATCCACCTACCCATAACTCTCCCCATGTTTTTGCTGTGAACAAAATGTATTCAGTAGCAGACAACATGTCCTTTTGGTCATGTGCATTGCAGAAATACCAAGCACAAACCCAAGTAATCGCTTCACATATAATTATAAAAATATGAAGATATTGGTTATGTCTTTTTAAAAAAAACAGAGCACTGTCTACAGCCTATGCTGTAATACACACAACACCCCAGGGCACGATAAGCTCTTTATTAATGCTTGCAATAAAAAGAACACTGCAGAACAATTACATGCCGTAGCCATGGATTTCCACAATCAGAGCTCTACCAGCAGCCAGTGTGTACTCACAGGGTGTTGAGATCTCGGGGGAGGGGGGGCGATGTTTGCAGCAAACTAGTGGAAATATTTCCAGCGGAGTTTTCAGGTGATGTCAACAACAGGAAGGATGACTTTGAGCCAGATTTCCATTTCTCATCAGACGCGGCCTTAAAAGTTGGAACAAGAGCATTAAGAGTCCTCATTTTCACCCCCAAACCTGCAATCGAACCCGTACGTCGACACGGGCTCCTGTACCTGCGCGGCATCCCGGAGGGTCCGTGTCTGCCCGGCGGGGGGTCCCTCCCCTGGCTGGAACACGGGAACACTTTCACGACTCCGGTCCGGGGCACTGGCTTCGCCGCGGTCGTCCCCAGCTGCAGCCCCGCCACAGCCCGGCCACCTCCGCCAAGGAGGAAGGGTTGTGGCCGCCTCCGCCCCGCGGCCGGCGGGACGGAGTCCCGGGCCCCGGCCAGGAACACGGAGCTCTGGCCGGAGCAAGGCTCCACGCGGGCTGGACGCTCTCCTGGACCGAAGCTCCTTTGTAGCTTCATTATGGAAGCTGATCATAATTTGCGTGGGAGCAGAAGCGCTACAAAACCACAGAATCAGAGTGGGTCAGGTTGGAAGGGACCACAGTGGTCGCCTGGTCCAGCCTCCCTGCTTAACCAGGGTCGTCCTGAAGCACGTGGAACAAGACTGCGTCCACACAGCTCTTGTCCCTCGAGTGAGAGAACTTCCACAATCTCTCTGGGAAATCTGTTCCTGTGCATGGTCATCCACACAGTAAATAAGTTCTTCCTTATGTTCAGGTGGAACTTCCCATGCATCAGTTTCTGCCTGTTGCCATGTTGAGACCACCAAGAAGAGCCTGTCTTCATATTCTTGGTAACCTCCCTTTGGATATTTACACACATTAATGAGGTCTCCCCTCAGCCACATCTTCAGCAACCAGGCTCAGCTCTCTCAGCCTTTCCTCATAAGAGAGATGCTTCAGTCTCCCAATCACTCTTGCTGCCCTCCACTGGACCCACAGCAGCTACGTGTCCCTCTTGTATCAAGGAGCCCAGAATTGGACACAATAAAATTTCCCCAACTTCAGGGAGTCCAGATGCCCTTTTCCTTTCAGGGAGCCAGTCAGCAGGCTTTGAAGTCTGAACTAAAGGACAGAGAGGAACACGTTGAAAGGTGACTGTGCCTGCTTAATGCCGCACCCACCCCTCCAGCTATCACAATATCACTGGGACCTTCTGCTCACCCAAGTCATGTGTTTATGTGGGCAATTATGGGTGAATGTCAGTAATTCACAAACTGGTAGGGAGGCAAGTTGGACAGGACCATCTGTAGACACCGGCAGAGCAAAAAGGAGTTTGTATGAGTAGGCTGAGTACAATGATAAAAGTGAGATTGGGAGAAGAAGGAGAAAACAGAAAACGAGCAGCTGTTCCCCATACAATGCTTGATCTCACAGGCACATCACTTTCAAAGGCTGTTTCTCTAGCTTGAAGGCATTCTCAAAATGCCCTAAATGAACTGATGCCCTAAACAAACTAAACACTGAAGTACCACAGGCACTTCCTAGTTATGTCATGAATATATTCTTTTGAATGTTTTTCAGATTATTCTACTTATGCCTTTTCCACTAAACAATTACTATGGTAGTCATCATTCTGTGGCAATAGTCATACTAGAGGTTCACATCAAAACCCTTGGTGCTCCCCAGGAAAGATTGACTCACTGACTGACTGGATTTATTCTGATGCCTCCCTGATCTCAGCAAGGCTTTGTCAAAACTACAGCATTAATCTGAAGCCTGGTGGCATTATTTAAGTTAAAGTGTGGTTGCTAAAACACATAAAAGCACACTGTGATTCTTCACACTACGATTTTGTTTGCTCATTTCCATATTTAGGATAGGCTTACTTCATGTGAATTTTATTTAATGTGATACTGTGCAAAATTCTAACGTAGGAATAGAAGTATTTCTGTGAGTAACAGTTAACCTGTATGTTAAATAAGTTCCATATATGTAAAAGCTGGCAGAACTATTTTATGTTTGATCATTATGACTGAGAAACAAGATGCTAGCACATTGTTGAAAAAAGCTTTCTTGGCACAGGTCTGTCACCAATGTGATGTCGTGACATTTCATGGAAATTTTCACTCTTTAGCAGGAACAGGATGAGACCCTATTGTGATCCTACAAACCTAGGTGCAGATAGGCTCCCTGATTATGTGGATGTCAGTGGGACAATTCCCTGTGCTTAAGTAAAATTAACCTTTTTCTAATGCAGACAGTTGGTTTTGTATTCTTCTGGATTTTTTTTTTCCCTAGCGAGGAGAGAAATGAATCACACAGAAAGGATATAATGTCTGTGAACTGCAGCTCTCCATGGACAAAGTCCAGTCACATCTATCACTGTACATGTCATATATGCAAAGACACAACGTCATATTTACCTCTGCCGTTACTGCAAGTCCTGTGACTGAAGGCTGGGCACTGTTTCATTATGTGCACCCAGCTTCAAAGTCAAGTGACCTGACAAAGGAAAAGAAGAAAAAGGCAGAGGGAACAGAAAACAATCTGGTAGCAAAGGGACAGAGGAGGAGCAAGTCCTGAGGCTTGTGTAGAATCCACAACAGATTATATTGCCAAGGAAATGGCAGAAATGCTTCAGCCCTACTCTAAAAACCTGTCTGGCAATGGACCTGGAGTCTATGTGGCTTTGAACCTGAAGCTGTGATCATGTCACTGATGTCAGTTGTGGGAAGGCTGTGGGAAGAGCTGCATTGGAACCAGTCCTCTTTTTTGAGTTTCTACACCCTGATTTTGTATTTTAATATATCCAGATTATTCACTCTCTCACTGGTCATGTTTCATAACTCTGTATAGAAGAAATATAATACAGACTTTTCTGGGCAAGACCCCCTATCCAAAGTTGGCCTTGAAACCTAACAGCCCTTTGTGCATAGAAGTGATCAGCTGGTGTGTGAGACAGATGGTCCTTCATTACACACCTGGAAACTTTCTTCCTCTTTCCATCAGTTTTCAGCAGGCTAATGCCTGTCAGGGCTGTCCCAAGACACAATGCTGAAAACACGAGTGGTAAAAAAATCCTGTTCCAAACCCAAGTACTAATTCCTTTTACAGGATTTAACCTTGAAAGGTTTCCCATAATCTTCTAGTACATTGTTAATCTGTTCAAGCAAAACTTCCAAGCAGGTTGATAAGTTGAGAATAAAGGCAGGCCTTTCAATAAATTTGTATATTAATAGGCAAGAGGGATTTCTCCCACCTCTGAACAGATGTGTACCTCCTTTATCTCCAGTGGGTTAGTGCAGCTTGGAAGGCCTGGCGATAAGAAGATTGTTATGCAGCACAGAGGTCAGAAAAATAATCAGCTGCAGGAAAAAAGTGGAGACTCCAAACAGAAGTCTAATCAATATACTGAATGCAAGGAGGGGGAACAGGATAGGAAGAAGCAGAAAAGAAGAAACAGAAACAGAGGAAAATTTGGTGCTGGAGAATCAGAAATTGAGCTGCCAGTCACCACAGTGGGCAGGATGGGATGACAGCCAGGGACTAACACACACACTCTGGAGCTTAGACTGGTACAAGATAAGAGCAGCACTGGAAACTCCTGAGAAGGAGCCTGGGTGAGAGGCAGGAGGTCTGTCCTTGCAGAGCAGACCTGGAGGAAGCAATGGCAGGGAGATGAGGGCACCTTGGTCTGTCAGGGGCATCAAAATCTCAGCTTCTTCAGAGATTTCACTACTATGTCTCTTAGTGTTCCTTATTAATCAAGTGAATTATTTCTAAAATAATCTAACCCATACTGCAAATACGTTACCTCCCACCATCAATGCCTAGCTTGACATTCAGGGCTTGCCCATATGATGACAGTCGGCATGGAAGGAGCATGGGGCAGGGCAGCAGGCAGCGCTTGGCAGATGGGTGAGCTGAGCAGCACCAAGCACACACTGGTCCTGCCCATGTCCTAGAGTCTCCCACAGGCTGGAAGGGTATACAGATGATGCAGGACAGTCCCACATCTGTCTTTGAGGTTTGTGCAGGATGAGGTTGCAGGACATGATCAAGAAGAGGAGGCTCGGGGGAAACCTTACCACTCTCCTCAAACTGACTGAAAGGAGCTGTAGCCAGATAGGGGTCAGACTCTTCTCCCTGGCAACCAGCAACAGGAGGAGAGCACATAGACTTCATCTGCCTCAGGGGAAATTTAGGTTCTACATTAGGCAGAAATTCTTCACAGAGAGGACGATTAGATTCAGAATGGGCCGTCCAGGGAGGTGGTGGAGTCACCGCAGGTGTTTAAGGAAAGACTGGACGTGGCACTTAGTGCCACGGTGTAGTTGACGTGATGTTCAGTCATACTACTGGACTCGATGATACCAAAGGTCTTTTCCAACCTATTTGATTCTGTGACTGTAAGGATTCTGAGCAGGGATGCGTGTAATAGAAACGCCAGGTGCCATCTCGGTGCTGCTGCTGCCGGGCACACCTGGCCATTCCGCTCCCCCACCGCGGCGCCCCGCACGCCAGAGGCAGCGCCTCGCGTGTGCACCGCTCCCACGGGCGTCTCTCGGGACAGCAGGGCCGGGGCGAGCGGCGGCGGCGCTCGGACCCGCCGGGGAGCCCACAGCGCCCGGCTATGCCCGCCGGGGGAAGGAGGGGAGCGGCGGCGGGCGCGGCGCCAGCGCGGGACCTGCGCCCCCCGCGCCCCGAGCCTGCCGCAGGCAGAGGGGCCGCGGAGCCCCGTAAAGAGCGCGGCCGGCATGAGCCAGGTGCCGAGGAAGCTGCCGGAGGAGGAAGAGGGGGACGAGGAGGAGGAAGAGGAGGAGGAGATCGTGGGCGGAGAGCCGAGGGACAGCACCGGGCTCGGAGAGGGCTGCGGAGTAGCGGCCGGCAGCGAGTGCGGGTGTGGAGTGAGGCGGGGCGGGGGCCGGGGTGAGGCCGGGACGGTGGCGGGGGACGCAGGGCCGCCGCCAGGAGGTGAGGTTTGGCGGCCCGCGGATGTGGGTCAGGGAGGAGGCGAGGCTCCCCGCGGGGTTTGGGGCACGAGGGGAGCCAGGGACAGGGTGCGGGGAAAGACGAGGCGTCCAGAGGGAGGGCAGGCCCAGTTGGAGACGGGGTTGGGCGCTGGGAGGCCGGGCGGAGCGAGGATGCTGCGGAGGTGGCCATGGGAAGAGCCGGGACGAGGACAGCGTGCTCGGTGGGTCAGAGGGTGCAGGGAGCTCCGAGGAAGGAGCAGGGCAAGGCTGACAGGTATCAGGAAGCGTTGGGAAAGAGGGAGGAGGCAAAGGGAGTGCAGGCAAAGTGTGTGTGTGTGTGTAGAGGAAGAGGAGGAGGAGATCGTGGGCTTGGCGGGCTACGCCGACGGGGCCGA